AAGCAAGACAGAAAACAAGAATATTCTTAGTGATTACACTAAAGACCAATCATATTCTTAGATTACGAAGATATTCGCTACTGAAATATCACAACAGAAACTGGCGGCTTCAGTTTGCTAATAACTACTATATACTGTTTCCATGGGTTTTGGTACTTTTTTACTTCTCAAAGCAGGATTGCTAAAACAAGGAGGACTATGTAATACAAGTGGGTTTATTTTCTAAACTGTTCTGTTCAAACACTGGTAAGTTGTTAGCAGCTCTTCAAGGTCTTTGGAAGCTTGATACTGACAGAGTAGTAAAATGAAGGATGATGTTTTCAGATGTGGATAATTCAAGTTTAGTGTTAGCTCATCAGTGTTTCTTTTTAATAAAATTTCTGAGCATCTGCATTTAATTATTGCCAGTAAAGAAGATGTCAAGGCTAATGGTAATGCGAAAATACAGTTTTTGTAGCATTACAAACATACATGCTTGGAACATTCTCCTGAGGATTAAACTAGCGTTTTTTTCATGGTATGGCCATGCAGACTATGCTAGTATAACATAAAATAGGTTGGCAGCTAATGAACTTATGCAACTTCTGAGGAACTACTTGTTGAGCCACAGTCGTGAATAATAATGACACTCCAACTGAGAGATTTGGAGCGTCTTTTTCTACTTAGCTTTGAGTTTCTGTGACTCTTAATTCTGCAGCCCTGCGTGTTGTTCATCTGCAGTAGGGAAGACTTTCCCTCCACTACGTGTATTAAAGCTGTATAATAACATTGCAGGGCTCTGAAGTTGACCCCAGCATGCCAGGAGTCCAGTGTGGGCATAGTGTAGATGAGGTGTTGGACTGCTTTGGCTGACCTGTTCTTAGTTTTGGATTAATGCTTTTCTTTCCGTGCTATGCTGGAATCTCCATTCCTGGTAGAAGGTGGGCAACTCATGCTCATAGGAGCTTAAGGTATTAGACTTTTATAGTCTGACTTAGGGGGTTTTTTGAGACAAATTTCACTATATTTCATGCGTGCATCTTTGCTTTATGGTTAATCTTAAATGCTTGGCAGCTTGGATTTAACTTTCCTTCCTCCTCCTTAGGGAGATAGGGCAATGCATACATTTAATGGCTGATGCCTTTAAGTTATTTTGACATTTCAGCATCCGGAATATCTTTGTGCAACAGAACTTAATTTCTTAAATTTTATATTCTGTCTCCTGTTCCTTGAATGCTGTGGTACAAATAATGCCCATCACTTACCATGGCTGATTGTGAAGTTAAGGGGTTTGAAGTCTAATGTCTTGTGGGAGAAGGTGGCACATTAGTAAAGCCTTAGTCTTGTCTGCATTGCTGATATCAGTCTTCGAACTCCATCAGATAGAATGCAAATCTGATAATTTTCTCTTTGTAGGACCCTGCACAAGGAGGGAGACTTGGCTTTCTGTTTGAGATGGGAGAAAAAGAAAGATGGGATATTTGTGTAACAGAAGAATAGTTGGTAGGACATGTGGTGATAAGGTGGTTTTGGAGGGTTACACTAAGTAAGAACATTTGCCTGCCTGTATTTCTTCAGTACCATCAGCCTGTCAAGTGAATTAATAATCACTGTGTGAAATATAATTAAACTGAGGGGGTTTTTAATGCTGTTATTGTTCAATATAAGTTTTAACCATCACAGGATTTGAATTATAAGGTGACTGAGTGTTTTGTGGACCTGGAAAACTTCTGCCTCCTGGAATCATATGCAGGTGTTTCTGCAGCGTTTGAGACTTTTTTTTTTACTTCTTCAGAATCATCTTGCATCTGACAGACTAATAAATTTTACCTATGTTCTGTGTGTTGATCTCAGATTTGTGTTTATATTGGCTAAAAGTGTGTCTTTAGGGTCAGGTCTGAACAGTTTTAATTTTATACATTCATTGACTTCTGTAGGACTAATTATATAGTTACTGTTGTGCTTAGATGTTTTTTGGCTTAGACTTGGCTAAAGCATTGCTAGAAAAACTGGCTAGGCAGATCTGGGTTTTTGGGGGGGCAGGTTGTTGTTTTCTTTTTGATCTAGTTTCTAAATAAAATTTTGGAACACTGAGCAAGCAAAAACCCAACACCAATATCATGGATCAGCATATTTTTATGAAAAATGTTATAACATCAAGATAAGGTTCAAGTGTAAATTTCCCAATTAAGCCTTGTATTTCAAATTCAACATGTAGTGCCTGCAAATTGTGAATATGATTCTACTGGATCAAATAAAAGGCCAGTCTGTTCTAGCAGCATGCCTCTGATAATAAGCAGTAACGAATGCTTAGGGGAAAGTGCAAAAACAAGACAAGCGTGATGTTAATACTATTTGACTACCTTACTGCACACTGCTGTAACCTGACAGCTTGAGCTTTTTGTTTCTCCTTTTGATAGTGGTTTAAATGTATACAAGATACCTTCTCACTTCTAATAGCTTCCCCTCCAAACTCTGACTGATTTCCTAAAATTCTTTCCTTTTGAAATTCAATATATTGTCTTTAATCATTGTCTTACAGTTAGTAAAGACTTTACCATTTCTGTTAAAAAGAAACTAAGCTGCAACCAACTTCTTCATACTTTTGTAGTTCCTCTTTTAAATTTAACCATAGTAATGGTGTACTTCTCACTTTTATTGTTTCTGCAGAGATAGTGAATTGGAAATCCCTGTGATTCATGAGCAGTCATGGATAGTGTCTTCTATTTAGTCTTCACATAACACCTCCAATTTAGAGTTTTCCAGTTTAAACTGGTTAAGCAAAGAATTCCTATAATCTCACTTCTAGAGGAGTTGTCATTTTAAATCATCTGTGGTTCTGCATTTAGCACTCTCCTTGCTTCTTCAGTCTATTAACCCTTACAAAACCATTCTTATTTTAAGTGCCAGCATTGTGCTTCCATTTTGATTGAGATGAAGTCTGTCTTGTTTACAGAGGAACACTCTATTCCAGAAGTTTCCTCCTGTTTTCTTACAATATTTCTCAGTCATACATTGCATTATTAGTCTTCAAAATGTACCTAAATTGCATAAGCTTCACATCTACATTTTATTTAGCATAATAGATGAACTCATCTTATAAATTTTTTTGCTCGTTGTGAAAATATTTCTGAAGTAGAAGTCATTTTTGAGTTTGGATAAATAGCATTACTTATTTTTAAAAAGCTGTAAGTACATGTGATATATGAATGTTGTAGAAAACCATATACACTTGAATCTTTCTCTTTAGAAAGATCTGGGGCTATTCTAGCTCTGGGGCTATTCTAATACTGTTTTGCAATGAATGAATGAAAAATTGCTTGGAAGAGAAGTCATGCTATCTTCCAACTCTCTGTTTACCTTTTTATTTTATTATTGTCAGATAATGGGTATCATTTCCTATTTTAAGAGGACTTCTAGCTTTCATAATGGAAAAGTGGAATCTGTGTCCCACAGTGTCTTGAGGCATTGTTTTCAGGGAAGTGTTTTCAACAGTAATATATACCAATTTCACAATATTTGTGTATTTTCTTCTAATGTGAAATTGTATGGTTTTTGTATGAGGGTACACTAAGGGACTTCAACCAGACTGTGCTGATGTGATTTTTGTCAGGCCAGGCTAGAAACCACCACTGGTTTTGTATTGCCTGTTGAGTACTGCCGTTCTGCTCTGCTCATTGTCCAGAGCAGAGAGTTGGTGCACACTGTAGTTGTCTGGCCCACCTTTGGGTTTTATTTCTGCAGAAGAAGCGGCAAAGCTGTTTTTTAACCTGTGTCTTTCCAAGATGTGTGGTTGGGGTATGGCTGGATGCACACAGAGCGGCAGAATTTTCATGGTGCTCTTGAATGTTCCAGTTCAGACATAACCTGTAGTACTGCTCTTTAGATCAATGGCAGTAGAGTGGGATTCCGTCATTTGTATTTTGTGGATTAGATCTTTGTACTGGCCTTCAGTTATCTTTCCAGCTGCTGATAAAACAAAATCGGGAAGAGCCTTAGAGCTGATTTCTTCAGAATGGGATTGTATCAAAGACTGACTGTTCATCACGTGGTGGAGGTTGTAGAACTGTGCCTGCCAGCAATAAAACTGTGTGCATCTTTTCTGCACACAGTTATCCCACTCTGCTGAATATTAGAATAAGAGAGCCTTTGTTTAACCTGAAAAGGGTTTTGCAGTAAATTCTTTCATGTGAAAGCTGCCATTTTTCTATGATGTTTTGAAAATTGATGTGGTGGAAAACAGAAAACAAACCTCATTGTTGTGAAAACTCTCTCAAGCTATGCTACATTTTTAATAAGCTTTTTAATTTTAGTTGAGATGTTTAGTTTTAGTGAATCTTATTCCATTTTTCATTCCCTTCATTAAGAATGCCAGTCCTGCAACATAAATCCTTCTCTTTCTGCCTCTTGCAGCTCGTATTTGCAGAACTCAGTGTCAGCAGTGGATGCCCTGATCTAAAGGCAGACTTTGTGATACTGTAGCTTGGGAATGTTTCTTAGAAATGATGCAATGATGGAGTGACAGCCAATTAGCTTACAAATTTCACATATTCTAGACTTCAGGAAGCAAAGTTGAGGCTACTTCCAAAAATAATGCCACTGAAAGGTGATGTTTCATTGTACCAGTCCATTTTATTTGATGGGCATCTGCAGCACATTGTGTGGATGGCCTTCCCCACTGCTAGGCACACTGGTGACTTGCATGCAGCCTGTTGTGTACCAGCGTCACATGGTGTTCTCTGCAAAGCTATCTTCTATCCTTTTGTCCTCCAGCCCACACTAGTGTGAGGAGGTATTCTGGCACAGGTGCAAGTCTCTGCATTTGCCTTTATTAAACTGGATGGGGCATCTGCCAGTTGAGGTCACTCTGCTGGCATCCCATCCCTCCAGCATGTGAGTTGCCTCTTCATTCCCTCCAGCTTGGTGTTGTCCATGCACTTTCTGAGGGCATATTCTATCCTTTTTTCCAGGTTGTTGATGAAGGTATTAAATGCTATTGAGTCCAGTGTTGACCCCGAAAAATGCCGCTCCTAGCTGGTTTGTCAGTTATACTTCAGGCTGTTGAGCTCTTTTCTGAGCCTGACTTTGAACCACTGTTCCAGCTGCTTTCTAGTCTGTTTTTTCAGTCTAGTGCAGAACAAACTATATGTTTGTTCCAATGATAATGTGATAGGAGCTAAGCAGAAGCACAGTTATTTCATGCAAGTGTTAAAAACTGAGAACTAAAGCCTGAAATAGCAAGGAATCTGTATTGCTGCTTTGCTAAAAGTTTGTTCAGCATTTCTGAGAGACCACATCCTTTTGAAATATCTTGGGTTGGGAACCAGAATTACTTTCAAAAAAGTAGACTGTTCTCAAGTAAATCTCTTTCTTCCAGGGTAGTTTCATGGGCTTTCTATGACACAGGTTTTGGTAGTTAACTGATAATTTCCAGGATTCTTGGGTCACATCTCACTTAAATTTTCTGGTCTTTTTAAAGCTTTCATATAATCGGAGATGGTATACATTTTTGTAGCGCACTGGTTTTTCATATCTTCTGCATGCAGATTTGCATAATGCAGTCATGCATTGTCAAAATAACTCTAGTTCAAGTATTATGTTTCCATTGTCAAAGATATCTCCTCTTTCTGCTCTTAGGCTAGGCTAAATTGCATCCTTATTTTTATAGCATTTGGTGTTGGTTTTTGCAACTTTATTCTTTTTAGCTAAGTTATAAATGTGCAACTGGAGAATGTCTCAGTTACTGTGCTTGCAATAAAGAATATTTTTTAGATGAGAATTTTAGTTCTTTAGCAAAATAAATGTAAGGTGTAGTTTTCTGGGTTTTTTTCCAAACTTGGCCTTAGCATTGCAGATATTTAGTACCATGAAATTAGATTCTAATGTGGCTGTCAAACAGGAAGAGTAATGTTTACTGGGTTTGTGCCTTGACTTACTGTTGTGCCTAGGATTGGAGGAAAAAGCCCAAAGGTTGCACAGAACAACGTCTGATAGGAGGGGCAATCATAATTGATATTCAGCTGCATTTTAAAGGTTCTTAATTACATAGTGGGTAATATATTCTTGAATTCCTGTCATTTTTCTATTTTCTGTTATAATGGCGTATCAAACAATAATCTTTTAGTATTTTAAGTCTTTTCTGTGTATTAATTATATGCAGTAGCATCTGGTAAAACTGAATTATTTTACACTTCTTGCAACACCCTGATTTTTAGGAGCATGACAAGAATAACAGCGGGTACTTCTATCTCCTTTTACTGAAGGGAAATTTTTGACTAAAAAAGTATTTTTTTTTTTCTTTTTTCCCCCCTTTTGCTTCTAGATCTTTCAAAGAACAGATTTACTGAAATTCCTCCTGATGTCTGGCTGTTTGCACCATTGGAAACTTTAAATTTGTATCACAACTGCATCAAATCCATTCCAGAATCCATTAAAAACCTGCAAATGCTTACCTACCTTAACATTAGGTGAGTAATGCTTGCTATTTTTGGTCTTTATATAACTTACCTCATGGGAGAGGTGGCATTCTACTTCATCAGGTCATTGAGTGCCCTCATGCCCTCGTTTTTGCCCAGATAGATAAAATTATTCTGTTGTTTGTTTGCCTTATTCTTGGTGTTTTAAGGCCAGTGGTTGTTGCTTCCTTTGTGGGCAGGAATTGACTGCATTACAAAATTTCAGTCAGTAAACTATGGTAGCTGAGGATAAGGAAAGTTTACAATTTTTCTTTGTTTTTAATGTTATGAAGACAGACAGTGTTTAGAAACTACATGTGTAAACATTTGCTGCTCTCAAGAGGGTAGATTACTCTGACCAGAAGGCCCTACTCATTTTGCACATTATTTACATCCATTGTTGTATTGCTATTCTTAAACTTGGAAAACATATGGTTGGATCCTCTGAGAAGAACAGAAGATTAATATGAGCTCTGGAAGGAGAGGGAATCTAGAAGAACCCTCCCATAAAGAGCCAGGACCCTGTTTTCCACAATATTCCTTGTTTCTTATATTGACTACATCAAGTCCAGAACAGTCTTCTCGGCTAAAAGCTATTTAACATTTGAGATTTGGTTCCAGAATTTTTATTGAAAAAACTTTGTGAAGTGATCCTTGGTAGAAAGAAAAAAAAAAAAATAAAAACAAACCAAAAAAACCCCAACCAACCAAAAAAACCCAACCCAAACCAAAAAAACCCCAACCAACCCCAAACCAACAAAAACCCCCAAAATAAAAAAAAAACACAAACCAAACTATGTCTCAAAATCTGCAACCAAACTATGTCTCAAAATCTGCAAATATCAGTACTTATAGTGATAATTTAAGAGTAGTTTGTCCTGTGGCAATTCTAAAGAGGATTAATGATGTAAAGCTCTGTTTTCTGAAAGAAATTTGACCTTTCTTCACAAAGCAGCAACAGCCCGTTTCTCTTTTGATGGTAACTGAGGTGCTGAATACAATTCTTTACACAGAAATAAAGTAGCATGTAGTTCTAACTGGGCATTGCATGTTATTTCAAGAGTCGATTCTTCTAATCATCATTTGCCTTACAGTGCTTGTCTTAATTTTTGTGCTAATGTTTGAGGACTATTGTCACAGTGCATGAACATGTGGACTACAGTAGTTGAAGAACAGGCTAAAATCCTAGCTTACTGGTTTCAATATTTTGTTACAGAAGAAAACCACATGATCTCAAATTCTAATTTTGGATTCAGACAACTGAAGAAATGTATTCTGCAATTCATAGTAAAATAGGCAGCTCTTTTTAAAGAAATAAAAAAAAAAGAGGAAATTTAAGTGATGCAGAGAATGACTGTTTCATTGCCACATATTTATATTCAATTAAAAAAGTTTTACTTGCACGTTATATTTTTGCTTCTCATGCTCTCCAACCAAAAAAGCCTGTCATATCTGCCTGAAATATAACATTAAAAGAGACTTACTGCATACCCACATCCAAAACTTATTTGTATTGTTCACTTAGAATTAACAGAATAAATACATTACTTTTATAAAGATACTGATAGAAGTTTACTTCCATTTTATGGTGTTAAAATTGCAGTACTTTGAAGCTGAAGTGTTGCAAGGACATAAATTTATTTTTGTTGGTTTTGCAGCCCTTTAAACTGTAGTCATGGAGAAAAATAATGTAAAAACCTTTGGTTTAAATATGAAAACAGTGCTCTGATACATATCAATTAAACAGTAAAACTTCTGTGTTTTTCTTAATATAGTGTGAACACAAATGTCAACACTTAAAAGGGTTTTTTTTCAAAATAGAGCTTCTTGCCTCTACACAGTTCTACTTAAAGCGACAGCAATCACTGAAATTTTTTTACTTTTATGTATGAAAGGAATTGCTTTCATACCACATCTGAACAAGCTGGTTTTCCAATGGCTTTTATAAATGTACAAGTACCTTTTTAGAAAAATTCTATGTATTTCTGGCAGTGGCAGTCTGCAGTTGGTAGTTTTTCCAATATGGATTTAAATCAAATTGTCAGTAACAGTATATTTCTTGTGTACAAAGCAGACGTGCATGCAGTCGGAAAGTGATACACACAAAAGAAATCAATTTTAATTAAAACTTACCTTCCAGACTAATGCTCAGCAAAGTAATAAATGGATGTTCAGGGCTTTTTGTAATGGCTCGCGAGTGACATGACCACATGACGTGAGAAGCAATGTCCTTGTATAAAGTTCTGGTTTGCTGAGAACATTAACTTTATTGGTAGACTCTCAGATCAGGTGGCCCTTCTGAAGGTGTCAGAAAGCAGAATAAAAGCAAGCATCAAACATTCATGATGGAGATTGTAGCTTAAATTTATTCTCCACCTATTACAATTTCATTTATCTCCTGGAGTAGGAGAAAAGTTGTACAATGTGCATCTCGGACTCCCTGTCAGGCTTAAAAAGATTATAATCTAGCCTTGCTTGTTCATTTTTCTTTCAAGTCGAAATCTTTTATCAACGTTGCCAAAATACCTGTTTGATCTTCCACTTAAAGTTCTGGTTGTCAGTAATAATAAACTGGTCTCCATTCCAGAAGAAATTGGAAAGTTGAGAGATCTAATGGAGTTGGTAAGTACAATTGTACACCATTTTACTAAGTAGACTTAAACTATAAGCAGTTTATTTACAGCATAAGAAAAATATAAATTAATAATTTTTAAACTGTAGAACTACAAAATGTAAATTCACTTACTGCTTTTTCTTAGTGTTTAAGCTCAAATTATGGGTGTAATATATCGTAGAGTTTAAAAAATGGGGTTAAACACAAATCAGTATGTTGTGTTAGCTAAAGTTTAAGGGGTTCATAAACAAAATTGCTCTTCAGATTATTTCATTTGAGTCCCTTGCTTGTATGTTGTTAAATATGGTGTTTACTTTCCATAGAGTAATCATAATTCTATTTATTTTTCTTATGTTATCAGGAATCTTCTTTCTAGCTGAAGAATTAATCTCTCTTTACCTTGTACTCTTACACAAGTTACACCATTCAATCATTGTTGTCTTGTTCTGTGGTGGTGGCGTGGCCTGCCCCTGCCTTCTGCTATTCCTTTATTTTGGTAGGAGTGAACAGAACGATGTGTGATATTTACAATTTATGTGTCTGTGCAACAGGATTTCATCCTATGGCATACTAAAGTTTTGTGCCTTGTCAGCCATTACTTTCTCTGTATTTCTTAATATTCTGGGCTTTTCTCCTTGTTAAGCTCATGTGTTTTGGAGAACTATGCACAATTATTCACTGACCTGGCACTTGCACTAGGTCTGATTTTTTTCAGTATGTATGGAGATTGTGTTTAACATGACCTAATTTCTGAGCTATAAATCAACATTCTTTTTAAATTTACAAGTAATATGAAACATTCTGAATGTTTGTGAGGCTTTTCTAGTGTCCTCTACTCTTTGGTGAGAAATTCTTTATGCTCACGTCAGTGTCATAGGATTTCAAGGTGGAATCACTGCTATTGTTTACAGGAAGTGAACGTTTTTCAGAATTGCAATTGTGGTATTTTTGGCTTATCTTTCAAAATTGTCAGACCTTGAATGCATACCTGATGACACAGATTAAGAACATACTAGAGAGTTTCATTCCAGTACCTGTGTTATACCTGTTTAGAACATACGAAATATATATACGTTAAAAAAAAAAATGTTGACAACTAAGCCACGTGCTAGAAAGATGCTTTTAGGAAGGGAATCCCATGACGTGGACAGAGAAGAACTTTCAATAGATACACAACAGTTGATCCCAAGCAGCCTGTACTTTCTGAGACGTCCAGCTACGTGCAGATATTGTGGCTGCCAAAAGTAGCTGAGCAGTGCCTAAGCTGAAGCTCTGGAAGCATGTAGTGGAGAAGGAGGCTGGATTTGTCTGGTTAAGGCCTGGCTTCTGGTTACGGACTCAGTTAGCCTTTAAAATCAGCTTCCAGTTTTTCATGAGATAGATAGGTATCTATCATTGTTATCTAGTCTAGGAAACTAGTCTCTGAAGTCAAATTTATTGAATCAGAAATAAACAAGGTTAGAAATGGTCATATCAATGTGATTGTTGACTCGGTCTGGGCTACATAAATAGATGTTAAATTAGTGGCAGAAATAGCTGTATTTTGTGTTCACTTGGTGCAGCTTTGTCACCCTCTAGTGCTTGTATCCAAAAAGTTGGTGAGCCTGCCTATTGCTGTTTGTAAATTTTTAGTTGCATGGATTGGTTCAAGGTTTTTTAAGGAAGAATTATTATAAAAGGAGCAGAATGCAAACCATTTGCCAGCAATAGCACAAGTTTTTAACTGATATGGGAACTACACCAGCAACTCCTGATTCCTAGGCTACAGTTTTAATGTCAAAACCAGTCTTTCGTCATTCATTGTTTTAACTTTTTGAATTGAGTTTCTGAAACATGAATCACTAAATACTGAAGAAACAGTGAGATCTGTTATGGTACTTCTTCCCTTTGTGGGAAAAACAAGAAAGATAGGATTTATTTCTTTTATATTATGCTTTGTAGTAGTTTTGATAGCAGTTTAATTTCATTTAAGATGTTCAGTTAATTTATTAATTATGTATTTCTTAGGATATTAGCTGCAATGAACTTCAGGTTCTTCCCCAGCAGATAGGAAAATTGCAGTCACTTAGAGAATTAAATATAAGAAGAAATAATCTCCATATGTTGCCAGATGGTAAGCTACTAGTCTTCATTTCTTTAATGTAGGTAAATTAGGTAAAGTGTTAAGAAGATACCTGATTCTTTTTTTTTTTCTGTTTCCCCCAATGCAGAATTAGGAGACCTTCCCTTGGTAAAGCTGGATTTTTCTTGTAATAAAATTACAGAAATTCCAATTTGTTACAGAAAGTTACGTCATTTACAAGTTATAGTTTTGGATAACAATCCAATGCAGATACCACCAGCACAGGTTAGTATTAGAGCATTCTAGTTCAGAGATTTGCATTAGGATCTTAAGAGGAAGCTGTTCTAATTTATACAAATCAGGTTTTTGGGTTTTTTTAGCTGTGTTTCTCCTAGTGGGAAGTTGTGGTTACAAACTCAGTGTAGAAAGTATTTGTTGGGCTGCATTTTCAGAAGACATGCTATGCAATTAAGATTTTTTTATTCGTTTGTTTCCAACAGATATGTTTAAAGGGTAAAGTACATATATTTAAATTCCTCAGCATTCAGGCATGCCTCAGAATAGATAAAAAACCAGATTCTTTGGATCTTCCATCATTAGGTAAACGAATCCCCTCCCAACCACTCACAGACAGGTGAGTAGTGGGTTTTTTGTTTTATTTTACTTTAGCATTTGCTATGAAGTGATCCGTTTATTACGGATAATAGCTGTAACTTCAATACTTTAATTGTTCTTTATTTAGGAGTCATAGTATTTATTTTTTAAGGTTGTGTATACTGGAAGCTTAATTGGCTCATCTGAGTTCCTATGCAAAATTTTCATTGTAGTCGCTAAAGATTTGGAAATCAGAACAAAGATGTATTTTAAATTAATTTATTGGAAAACTTAGCTATTTATTTCCCAAATAGATATGTCAAAACAGTAGATGAGAAGTTCCCATAAATGTTCTGAATATAGAGTTAGTCTGTTGGATGGAAAGTCTACCTCCCACATATGTATTAGGGGAAACTAACTTAAATGTCAGTGAAATACCATGGATTTTTCTAATAGATTAGTCGAGGTCAAAAAGTGCAGAATCCTTTGGATTTCTGTACTGAGTACCTCTTGAGTAATTAAATGGGAATGCTTTTGTATTTTCTGTTGTCAGTTGGCTTGCCATTGGAAACCATATGGAACAATACTCTCTTTTTGCCTATTTTCTTAAAATGTCGCATGCAGCTTGTGTCTCTCTGTGTTCAGGGCTGAAGAAAAGATGAAAGTTATGAATAAAGCTTACACAGAACCATCTGAACTATGAAATTCAGTCCATGGCCTTGGCCTCAGGCAACTGTGCCATAGGGAATTAGTCCACAGTGTCTGTAGATCACTTCCAAAAACTGCGGTCCGCAACTGCTCCCCAAAAGCCTCCGCTGAACTTAAGGCCTACGGCTAAAATGTATTGCAAAGGAACAAAGTCATGGGTATCACTGCTGTACGTCATATTTGTAGCAGTGAGAACTTGTTTAATTAAACTTTCCAGATAATCTTATGATGTAAACCAAGCTCCAGTGCACAGTTGGAAAACACGTCCTGTTGATGCTGCCAATTTTATGTCTTTGAAAGGCATAAATTTGGAGGAAATATTTCACAGATATTCAGGCAGAGTTAAACCATTATAATATGACAGCCTGTTAGGGAATGTATATGTGCTACTAGTAGAAAACCATGTCTGCCAATAAAATTCAAGGAATTGCAGTTTTTTCAGAGAAAGCCTTCTTTTCTGAAAATGGTATTTTTTAATGAAATAGAACAATTCTAAAATTGCATAGATACAGAGAGAGTACCATAATTGATCGTTTCCACTTTTAACTTTGCTTTGATACTTTTTTCTTGAACAACTCTTGTAGGAGATTAAGAATTTGTTCTCTGCACATGGGGCATGGTGCAGAAATTCTGTATCAGCGACTGTAGATGAGTATAGAGAACATATTTTTAAAAGGATGTTTATTTTCTTTTAGAAAGGTGAAACTACTGTTTCTTTCACTCTTGTGTGGTTTTTTTGTGTGTTGTTTTTCTTAATGTAGCATGGAGGACTTTTATCCCAATAAAAATCATGGACCAGACTCTGGCATTGGAAGTGATAATGGGGATAAAAGGTTGTCCACAACAGAAGTGAGTATTTTTCATTTTTGAAGTTGCATAATTTCCGTTTTTTAGAATCTTCCTTTGTATTTTGTAGCATTCGAGAAATACTTAACTGAGTTACATTTAACATTATTTGAACATCTGTACAGTTGAGTTTAAATCATTAGACTGCCAGTGTCAGACACAAATTACTTATGTATTGCTTTGACTTTTCTGGTTAATGTTCATTCCAGTCCAAATTTCGTACATTTTAAAACTGAATTCTGACCTAAGGAATTGTTTGGATTTTTTAATGTATGAAATGCATAATCATTTTCTACACAAAGGACAAAATTTATTTGAAACTTTCTTTTGTTATTAATTAAATGAATGTACTTAAGAAAATGTAAGTTTATTTGGACTAAACTTGAGTGTTGTACATATTAGTAATCCTCATTGTTGTTTAAACTTCTGGATGATGTGCTAGGTTTAAAGTGATGAACAAAAATCCCTACAAGTTATCTGTGTATTCGTAGAAATCTAGATTAAGGAGCTGTAATTACTAACAGTGATGTCAAAGCTGAATAGTGTAGAACAAAAGATTTTTGAAACTTAGAGAATTATTACAAATGCAGAGTGATTGTTAGTGGGAAAACTGTAGAACAAGGAGTACTACTAGTTGGGTTTTTTTAAAAAAAATTCCAAATTATTAGAAGTAAAGTTGTGTTGGGTTTTGTTTGTTTCTTTTTTTTTTTTACTTCCAGTAGTCTAGCAAGGGTCAAAGTAGTTGGAGGCTTTAGATAAGAAGGTACCTAAGTACAGTTTTCTTAGTCCACTGATTGGCACTGGACTAGACCTCTTTGAACAAAATACCGTATTTCAGTATTATATACTGAACAGTTGTCTGTCACTCCCTAAACTGCGATTCCCTTAAACGTCCATCCCACCTGCCCCAAAAAAAATCCACCCCACCCACAAAAAAAACCCTCCTGACTTGATGTTATTTTCTCTGTCCTGGGAACCATCCCTCATGACAAGGTCAGTTGCACTATAATTTGTGAGTTCTTAACAAATCATATAATAATGTAATTTATATGTAAGTTCTGTATTAAATGTGACTGTCTTTGCAGCCATCTGATGATGATACAATCAGCCTTCACTCCCAGGTATCAGAATCAACAAGGGAACAGACATTAAGGAATGACAATCATGTAATGGGAAGTAAACTTGATCCACAGAAAGGTAATATCTGTTGTGCATCTGTCATTTGCTTGGGTGATCTAAGAAAATTGCACAAAATGATATGATCACATGTTGGCATTGTATTTTCATCATTTCAGAAAACAATGTAATAATCACAAATAGACAAGGCCAGAAAGAAAGAAGAAAGATTATTTCTAGCTCAAGGAGACATGATTTCATTGTTTTATCTTTATCTGTCATTTTTCATAAGTACTTATCTCTCTCGGGAATAACATTTGGTTGAGAGAACTGTTTAATATCATCTTTTCCATTCTTCATCAATCCTCACTAGACCAGGAGGTGTATGATTACATTGATCCGAATGCAGAAGAGGGAGCTGTTCCTGAGCAAGGAGATGTACAGATTGGACCATTGCTGTCTTATATCAAGGTAGCACACCTTGACAAAAGCAAAACTGTTCAGGCTTGCTTTTTTTAAATTCAGTCTAAGTTTATTTTTCATTCTGTATAAGGAACGGGGAAAACATCCTGAGAAATCCCGGAAAATAGAACAGAGTGAGGACTGGGGAGATGAAAAAAGGTAAATCTTCTTGATATTTTTTGGGAAGGTTTTACTGACAGTGGGAGGTGAGGGTGCTTTTGTTTTAAGCTCCTTGCACATGGAGGAAGGAAATCTCATATTGACCACAAAGTGCTCCTTCCTGGACAGAAAATAAGCTTATAGGAAGCGCTTCTTAGTTATCATCCAATAACATGGCCATTTCTGTGTCTTGCTTTACTTAAGTCAGGCAAGTCACTAATGTTTTAATTTTTCAGACTTCAGAAAGAACAGCTGCTGGCTGAAGATGATGATGAACTCAAAGAAGTGACTGACTTGAGAAAAATAGCAGCTCAGTTACTGCAGCAAGAACAAAAACACAGGTATTACAACATTAGTTAAGATAACTTGTGTTACAATTCATTCTTTAACCTGCCTTATACCCAAAAGCTCTTGACACATTATCATTTTGAGAACAGTTTTGTCCAGGTGTTAAACAGTTAAAGTTACAGACTCTGTCAAGATAACCTATCCTGTGTTTCTTTTCCTAAAATTGGTGTCTAGGGAAGCAGTGATAACACCTCCTATAGAGAGGAGGAGGTGAATGTGGAAGTCTCTTGATTTCCTGGTTTCATGTATGTTAACTTTTTTATACTTTTTTTTTTTTCCCAAAGCACTATACTTAAGTAGGCATGGTTAATGCTCATATAAGTAGATTATTGGTAACATGTTAAAATGACTTTGTCTTAGTTTGCATGAGTTATGGAACCTTCATATAGTTTGTTTGTGACTGGTTATTTTTATTCAAAAAATGAGGTAATTTAGGTGGTACTTCCTCTGTTCAGTCTGAGAGATATAAATTTCCCATGGACTGAAGGGGAAATTCATTCAAACATTATTCTGTCGAATGACAGAGCATATATATATTATAAATATATATAAAAATAAATAATTAGAACAGTGTAAGTTCATCCTGATGAACTGCCTGACTTTCTCCATTTCATGTTGGGCAACACAACAGAATGATTCTTGAAAAGGAGATGTAGAACAAGCAGCAGATTAAAGGACTGTAATAGAACAAGTTATCAGCTGTGTAAAAGGAAGAGTAGGAAGGCATACCTGGAGTTGCATAGGACGCGGACAGGCTAGGGTAGGAACCAATTTCTCTCTGGGTCCTTTACTAAGCAGGCAAAAAACCAGTGAGGTACTTGGTGAGAGTAAGCTCTTTCCTGAAAGGTAAAAGTTGTAGTTAATAGTAGTTCATGAACTAAAATAGTTCTTTACAGTCGTTCATTATACCACAGTAATGGATTTAACTTCATACCAGCTTAAATAATATTTTTTGTTTCTTTTGAATTTCTGTGTAATGATGAGATTCTGCACTGCTGTTTTTCTTTTAAGATAATTGAAATACAGGTGAAGCCCTTAGAGAAATTGATATCCTGATACTATGAATTGCAGACCTTTAAAAATTCACCATCATTTTATACTAGTTAAATATAATAGCATGGGGGGGAGGAGGTAAAATAGGTTTTACTTGTAACTCCATGCAGTGTATTTAAGAATTGGTTGTTCACATTGGTAAGGGAAAAATAAGAATGAGATCTTAATGCTAATACATTCTTATTAGCAAAAGTATTGCAAAAAAGACTAAGAATGCTAAATTTTCTCATATTAATTTATTACTAAAGAGAGAATAAGTGTGTTTTTCTTATATTAGGTTTTTATATGATGGTTATTTATATTGCATGTGGGTCTTGTTTGATTAGTTTTGATATTTCCTGGTTATCTAATCATTTGAAATACCAAGCCACTCCTCTTCTGAAGTACTGCAACTTCAATTTTACTCATCATATGTTGTTGTATCTTAATGCAGTGATCTTGCTAATGGTTCTGCTTTGCTCTTGAATTGTTCAGACATATGCAATCTTATTAGTTAAGTGTTACTTCTTAGTTAAGCATTTATATTTTAAAGCTTAGTTTAGCAATAAGAATAATATTTAGATGTTTAGTGAAGATGTGTTTCAAGTTCTGTGTTTGTGGAAAATGTGTTCAATCTGAGTAAACAGAATCCTCAGAAAAGTGAGCATCACAAAAGAATTTCTTACTAATCATATTTCTGTTTGTTCAGTGTGGGTTTTTTTAAATATTATGCAGTCTCTTTTCTTTTTGCTTGCTATGCTAATGACTTCCCTGTCCTCTCCTGTCAACCTGTCCTGCTTCCTTCTTCCGTCTTTGGCTTTGGTGTACATGAAATATGAATACAGACGAAGGCCATTAAGCTATAGAACTTCATTCAGTGAAAAACTCTTCCAGAGGACAAGGGCGGCAGGACGTGCATCAAGGTATAAAGTGTTTGTAGAGCTTCAGATTTCCAAAGTTAAAATGTGGACAAAAGAAACGGTTTTGGCCATTTCTCAAACAAAAACAGAATAAAGGGATTGGCTAAGTTAGCCTAAGAGATTTCGTTATCAAAAATAGATTGCAATGCATTTATTGTTCTTTAAGATGAAATACTATTTTAGGAAAATATTTAATTAGGCCAAAGAACGTTTAAATGAGTCTAAACTTAGAAGCATAATTTCCTGTGCCTTTGGCATGCTTTCTCTTCAGTTTTTGCTTTTTAATATATAGTACCTCAAGTATAGAACCTCAGGCAAAAGTGTGTTTTGTTTTGTTTTTTTATTTAAGTTATGTTAATTTTTAAAGTGATCATTTTCAAATTGGCATGACCAGTGACAATTTGTTTTCCATTTGACAGCCATGAGGGAAGCATTTGCAGATACACAAACCTCAGAGGTAACAAGAAATCTGGAGTGGGCTGTGTAGGCTATGCTCAGGCACATAGGTGATGAATCAAGTAATTTCAGACTTTTTTACCTTATCAATTGAAACTCTAACTTACTCTGGATGCTCCTGGTCTGTTTCAAAACAAAGTAGGATAGCTTAGATTAAATAATCTTCGTTAGTACCAAATGAGCCTGTTTCAGTTTGCATCAAAGTTAAGTATGGGTTCTTACCTGACAGCAGTGACCTCCTAAAACTGTCTAAATCCCTAAGAGCACATCTTATGATGACAAAGCAGAGCCCTATATGAAGACAGTAGACTGCTCCTGAAGGGGTTTAAAATGCATCATTTTTTTGTCTCACTGTAAAAGGTTTCTAGTGTCTTTATACACTTTATAGATCATGGGTAGTGCTTGCTTGTTTAAATTTGAAGATAGCTAACCTTAAAATAGCATTACCATCATCGACTACATTTGTGTCCCTTAATCATGATGTTATGTTTGCTCAAAATATGAAAGTGTAAGTGACTGAGAAGAGATTCCACTTTTTAAATTCTCAAACTTTAGAAAATGTTTTCCAGTATCATAATTGGTCTTACCATCACCTTTCTCTCCCATCTAGTCAGGAGTTTGGAGTAGATGTTATGCTTGCATGATACAAAACTAGAAAAATGAGTCACAATGTTATTTTTTTTCAGTTTAATATATATAAATATGTCATTGTGTATGTGCTGTTGGGTAATTTACATTTCAAAATTTGTATGAGTTTTAGAACCCTTTCAAAGTAATAGTTTGTATGCTACCCCTGTAACAACAGAAATTGTGTGGTTAGTAGGAAACATAAGTAGGAAATTAATCGCAGTACTAGCACAAGTGTCTTATGCAAGTTCTTATTTAGCAATTCAGTATCACCATCAGTAAGTAATTGGCCTGATAATTATCTGTCTAATAAAAGAAGTTTTGGATTCAATGAGCTGTAGTATGAATGGAAACAGTTGCTGTAATCTTTGCACCATTAACACCACACTTAAAAGAGCATGACTTCTGAATATGAGCTACTTGTTCCTTCATTTCGCATACTCAGTTTTGCATTGTTGTTTCCTGGAAGACAGTTCTTAACATGACTACAGTGTTCCCCCCCTCTTCCCCTCCCTTCCAGCTGAACAAATTATTTTACCATTAATTCCTTAGTCTGAAATTTAGTAAATTCAGATTAATTTTCATCACCATTTTCTTTAACTAAAAGCTTTCAAGTTCCTTATTCCACAGGAAATTCAGATTTCTCTGACTGGACTAGTAACTGCTAACCTGACAGACATTGGACTTGCTATTACTTCCCCATCAATATTCTTCAGTTTTTAAACAGGAAGTTTCAAAATGATTGTTTGTAGTTTTGTTTTTTTTTGTTTTACGAAGTATAAAAATAATACCTTGTTTTTAATAAGCTTAGTTTATTATAAACTCAAACATTAATTATATACATGTTTCATAGAAACAGTGTAGCTGAAAAGTGCATGTGTATATATGATTAGCTTGATTAGTTTTTCCTTACACTTCATATAATGAAATATAATATTCTTTCGTATAAGAAATGGCTTGTGTTATGCACAGTCATTTAATTTACACTGATAGTGTCAGTTTTGGTGCAAGTGTTGCATCAAACTGTTTAGGTGATTCAAATTTCTGTTGTTTTTTTTTAATCTCCTGTTGTAATGGTCACATCTTGCTACATAGTCTCTCTGAATTTCTCATTGCTTTCAGTCGAAGACATAAGGCTAATTTAAATGGAAATTCTCTCTAAAACTAATGACCTTAAAATAGCATGTTTATATTATGGTTTGATAACCTGTGCTCTGAATATTAATTTTTTGTAACACGTTTTTCAGGCTATAGTACCATTTAATTCCAGAATGCACCCTCAAAATTAAGTTTCTGAAGACAAAATATAGGGAACAGATGTTGCAGACTGAATGCTGCAGTCTGTGTTGGTTTACAGGCTTAACTTCTCATAATCCCATTAAACTGAGGTTCTCACAGTGAGAGATTTAAACTACAAATGAGATTACTGGGCTCAAATTTATCACAATCAGAGAAGTCTGAATATCATCAATCATTTAAAGTTAATCATTGGACTGCCCTATATAATGATAGTGAAATATAAAAAGGTGCCTACTGTTAACTTTCTTCCAGTGAATAGTTGGTGCTCTTCTAATTCTTTCTGATTCTTAATACATTCTAATTCTCTGTATAATTCCACATAAATATAATGTGATCACAGTTCTGCACATGAAGTCAGTGTCGAAGTGTAATATTACTGTCTCCAAGAATTCAGAATTATTCATTCTAGTTACTGTTCAACATGACACTTAAGAAAATTTTATTTTAAGTGTTATTGTTTTGTTATTTTTAGCTCTTTAAACATCCATAATAGCTCGTATCTTCTTCCTGTGTGTGTGCACAGGTCTGGTATATGTTTGTTCCAGATGAAAAAACATTTCTGAATCTCTGTGTAAGTTTAGGCTTTTTTGACTGTTTACCATTTAGAAAGATTAAATTTCTGTTGGTTCATTTCTGTGTTAGACTTCTCATTTAGTCCTTAGCCTGTGTTTCTCCATTTTCCACCTCTCATTTTTCCCTACGTTTTCTTTGCACTTGCAGCGTTTCTTACTCAGCTGCCTTCTTTCCTGCTCCTACTGACTGACTTCTTGTGCTCAATCTGTGTATAATTTGTCTGCTTTAGGTTGACTATCTTCTGTTCTCTAATTTTAGTGAACAGTGGGATCTTTTGTGTTGAGGGCATCATAACTTTACACAGGCATGAGATCAGTTGAAATGGTATGTATTTAGAGAGAAAAATAAGAGGAGGCTTCATTTTGGTTTGAATTACCATCAAGTTTTACTTCCTTAAAATTCAGAACTTGAAATATTTCAAGAGCTGGAAACAATATTGTTGATTTAAATGGAAGAAGGATTGGGCTTGGATTTCATATGTGTACACACATACATATTCCAATTTTGTGGAAAACGTCACCTTAATGTTCAAAACTTTTTATTTACAGGAAATGTTATGCAATGAAAGTAACATATGTTCTAAGAAAAAGGTTTAGCTACAAAGCTGTTGAATAAATATGTATTTTTGTTTTTTCTTTCTAGGCTTCTTAATCATTCAGTTTCAGTAAGCACAAGGAACAGGCCAAAGCAACCAATGGAATCTGAAAAATGGTATTGATATACTTATGTATCATAGCTTTCAATATTTTACTAATTTAATTTTTATATTGTGTCGCTACTGCCATCTTCTGTCATAATGTTTTTAGCTCAAGATGAAATAGTAGCTACACAAATAATCTGTTCTTGAGCTTCTTTCTTTCAGATTAAAAAATAAAAAAAAAAATCTGTTCTTTTGAGCCTTTAGGAAAGTTGATGTCATCCAGAAACTAATTTGTGGTCTGATTATGGCAGCAATTCTGGTGGCTGAAGATAGGCATTCAGTGATGTTTTAGACATCCAGTTCCAGTCCAGAAGGTCATGTCTTCCATAGGTAGCAGTCCTGTGTTAGGTAAACTGGCACTGTAGCTGTGCTTAGGCATCTAAAGTTTCCTCCCTAGCAGTCCTTTTGTGCTCTTAAGAGCTGTTGGAAAAGTATTGCTGGGAGTTCAGCTTGCAAAACCTTTACCATTTGTGGAAATGTGTCAATGAGCAATCCATTGCCTGCAGGAGATGTACTCTTACGCTCTTTCTTTGAATTAAACAAAAACACCATAAACCATCAGCAAACAAAAATACCCAGAGCCTTGTCTTTAGGAAATTGGGAAATCACAGCTTCCCATTTTTGACTGCATGGGTGAGAGAGAACTTAGCAAGTTTTCAGCCCTAGGGTTAAGGAATCCTAGATCAGTTCTTTTAACCAGTTTGGTCAAGAAATAATCTATTTTAATTTTTAAGTTAAAGGGGAGAGCTTACTGGCAGCCTCCTAATGAGAAGTCATTCAAACGGTGGTTTTTGTGATTTTTGCCAGCCCCATAGTCTTCTAAAATCTATACCTTCAAAAGAATCTGTATTTGCTTGCGTCCAGACCCTAGTTTGGCTGTGAATCTTGGAGGCAAAAGCCATAACTGCTTTTGGTGTTGCTGGAGAGCACTGGGGGTGGTAACAGCTCTCTATAGTTCAGGTACACATCAGGAAAGCATTTACTGGAACAGAAAAGGGACACAGCGTAGATATTTCAATGTGATACGTACTGTTTGGCTATCTTCTCTCTCATTGATGTCTGCTGTTTTAAAGAGCTAGTTGCGCACATGTCCTCTGGTTATGTGAACCGTGCTGCGACTATTTTTCATTTGCATTTAGAACTTTCCAGTCCTTGGTTACTTCACGTACAGTTTCTGTTCTTTGGGATGCTGTCGCCTATTGTAGTGTACAGCTGTGTTAGGCCTTCAATATTATAGGGTAATCCAGGAAAGGTTAAATTTACCTTTCCCTGTTTCGTGAATGAAACAGAAATAGTTCTGAGACTTAAAAAGAAAACAAAACCCCCAAAAAACAAACAAGAAAACACCCCCAAAAAACCCCCAACCACCCCCTTGTGTGAGGTGTGCACAGAAGATAAGGTAGATGTTGCAGGCTCTTTGTTGTTTTATTGCACTGATACATAAGAACCCAAATCACATGCTGCCTAAGGAACATACAAAGAGAGCAGAAAGACTGTCATATCCCTAAAGAACTGACACTTACAGAACATGTCATAGTTAATAGATACATACGTATCAACAGCAAAACTCTATTGCAGCAGTTCCCGCAATTCTCAATTTGATTGCTTATCAAGCTATTGGATGTGATTCAGACAAATTTCCAATGCCTAACAGTGTTAAAAAGTAGCATTGTTGCTTTGAGGCAAACAGGAAGGAAAAGGAATATGAAGTAGCAGGAGCTAAGTGCCTAGTTGCTTTGCCTTTATGATTTGTTATAATTACTCCTGGTGTAACATCCTTACTGCATTCAGTCCCCAGCTGTTAGCCTTCTGGTATACTGCGCAGCTTCTAAGCCAGCTGTCAGACTGAATGAAATGGTTGCTGGTAAGATGATAGAAGTTAATTTCACAGAAAGATTTAGAAAGAAAAAATTGAAGTGACACCAAATCTAAACATTTTTATTTTCCTGAGAAATTTCAATAATCTCAGTCAGTCCGTGTTCCAGAGTGTATTTTTTGAGATGTTGCCGTTTCACTGTCCCATCTTAAAATGTTTTTCCCTTCCCTATTAGTATAAGCTTCTACTTTACTATATCGAGCTAACAGTGAAATGAAGCATGTGGGTCTTCCAAAGGTTTAAGATAGATATTTTATCAGCTTTGAACAAAATGTTTCATTGGTTGCTCTGAGGAAAAAAACCAACATTGAAGGTGCATTAGTAATCTCTGAAGATCAACATGCTTAAGAAAAAACTTCATCTGAATGAAGTACTGTAGTGTGGAAGACCTGTTGTCAGCATATGGTAAAGGAGACTGAAATATGATTTGAGATTTTAGTCAAGTGGTCATACGTTTTAGCCACATTGTGACATCCTTGGACAGCCAAAAAAAATACTGTGGTGCTGCAGAGAAGCTGCTTTTTAATAGTGTTCACTTTTTTGATTTGTTTAAAGTAACTTGGTTTTAAAGTACACAAAAATGTAGTAAATTTCTTATTGCCTCTCATCTTAATTTTCAGTGTGTCAACAGATGAAGTGAATTCCTCAGTGTCCCCATACAGCTGGCAGGTAAGGACTCAAATGTAAATGTGGTGGCTTCATATTCGAGTGGGGTTTTTTTGGTTTGTTTTTTTGTTTTGTATTTCTGGCAGAAAACTTTTATACATTCATATGGTTGTTTACACACATAGTTATTGTATATATGTAATTGTGGTGGAAAATATAAAACCTTTGAAGAACTTATGCTTCACAATAATTAGACTTGTATGTAATGGAGGCCTTTTTAAGAGCATATGGTACTAGCTTTAAGATCTTGAAACTAATGAGACATAAGTTTTACTTTCTTGGTTTTAGTATTTCTTTACAGATAAATTTTATTGCCTTATCATAATCTTCTTTTTAATTTCTAAATGGTTTGAATTATGTAGGCCTTCCATTCCCTGTAATTCACTGAGAAGCTTGCATGATACGATAAAATTGCAGTGAAACTGTAGAGTGTACTTTTTTTATTATTTTAGATCTAAATCCATCAGGTATTTGCAATTGCTTTAAATGGCCTGATATTCTAATAGGAAGAAATAGTTGGAAATGTAGTTTTAGCCATATTAGGAAATGGTCCCTTCCGATTGTCTGCTTTCAGTTTTCATAAGATAGACATTCATACATAGTCATTGTCATTTTAAGAATAAATCTACTTTAGCTGTCTCTTCAGAATACCTTGCATAATACAATACTTTGAAAGAGAGATTTCTTTTCCAGCTAGTTGATGTGTATAATCTTTTAGATAGGAACAGACAGATACTTAAATTGTCTTCTTGTAGCCATCCTTTTCCTGTGCAATGAGTATTCAGATTGAGAAACTAGATATGCTAGTGGCTAACCACACTTCTGTTTTTTTGAAGTTATTTATGGCAGCCTTAGGTGGCTTCTTAACATATATGTGGAAATTGGGCTCAATGCAGAAAAGGGTATTATTTTCTTAAGAATTATTTCATAGGTTCTTTTTCTTCTATGAAATATGTTTTAGGGTTTGAAAGGAAAGAATTGATTTATACCAGAATCACTATTAAGACTGATAACACTTTCGTGTCATAAAGCTAGCTTATGAGGGAGGCAAACAATTCATAATTGCAGTTCATAATAATTTGTGTTAATGCACACGAGGTTTATTTACCTTTTACGTAAAAATATTTCTGAACCTTATAGCCACTGGAAAACCAGAAGGATTCAATGGATGAGCAGCATTGGCCAGAAACACAGCCCGTGATTTGGCAGAATGAAGAAAGAAGGAGAAGTAAACAAATAAGAAAAGAGTATTTCAAGGTAATGGCAGGGAGTGTGGGTGGGTGACACTTTTTTTAATGAGAGTAGAAGAAACTATATAACTAAGTAAAGGTAAGAAAACCTCAAAGGTTGTCATGCTTATAATTTTGCATGTAACCTGTAATTTATTTGTCTCTTTTGAGTTAAATAATATATATATATATTAGGGTAATGTGAGAGGAGGAAAAAAAAATCAACTGAATGCTTTGTTTATCCTTTAAATAAAGTAAGTAATTTACAGTTGTCTTCTGGTAAAGCCAGAAACTAATCTTTAGTTATTGGTCCTTGCCCATCCATTTTGAAGGTTTGGGGGTTTTTTGTTTTGTTTTGTAGTTTGTTTTTTTTGTAGTGCAAGGAAAACATACATTACCTTTTTGTGCAGCTTGGTTATAAGAATTATTTATGCATTTTGGTTCTCACTGCAGTAGTTTGCATTTTAGAGAGGAAATTTTCTCTTACTTTGCTGCTGTAGTGTGTACCATTGGTCACCAGATGTCAGTGTCTGCTTATTGCAAAACAGGTATGAAGCCGTAGCAGCATTAGATAAAATTTGTTTTGGGGTATGGTAGAGAAATAGGAGAATTCTGACCAGTGCTAGGTTGACTTAAAATTAAATTTGTCACTTCGGAAATTCATTTCTTGGGTCTTTTGCTATCAGACATCTTTATGAAATGCTAGGAAACTTAAAAGAAATTAAATTCCAGGAAAAACAAAGCATGCCATACAGCTCAGATACGTTCTTGTGAGTATAGAAGCTATTAATTTTTTTCCCTGAAGAGTATGTGGAGTTGTATCCTAACTTGAATTCTACTGGCTTCTTTCCACGGTTTTCATCCCTAAATTAATTTTGCCTTGCAGCGTTTGAGGGGAAGGGGAGAAACTTCGAAGTAAAACAGAATTCAGTCATTTGACTCATTAAACAGCCGTGCTATCAATATAGAAGACCTGTATTAGTGATTTCTCATAACTAATTTAAAGGATGTCTTTAAATACTAATAGAGGTTTCAATTTTGAGCTCTGTGATGGAAGCAGATACCTGAAATCACATTACATACAGCTATAGAAATGTCTCAAAAGTGAATTAAGCAGGCTGTACCAGTAACAAAAAATACTGTATCACTGATAGTTTCATTTGCATAAACAAGGCAATAAGCGAGTGAAATGAAGTCTGTCTTCCATGGCAAGCTGGGGAAAAAAACATAGGTACCACTGCTGTTCTAAGAAACCAGTGAAAATACAATTCATATTGTCCATGTTTTCTTGGCAAAAAAGCTCATTGAATAATCATATCTGTACTGTCAAACATTAGTATCTTAAGAATACATGCCAAATTACTGCAATGGGCATCATTAGAACAGGGAAAATTTACTTGGATCAGCATCCAGAAGTATTTCTAGAGCATCTTTATTGTACATATTATATATTTCTATTGTGCAATTGTACTGTGCAGCAGAAGGGTAGGAAAATGCCCGTGAGAATCAGAACTCCTTTTCTTGTGGCATTGCACTGAAGTCTTGCTGGAACCTGAAATCTTTGTTGCATTAAATATGTAAAAAGAATCTTATCATTGAACACAATTTTATCAACCAAAACGCATTTTTCTTTTCCTGGAATAGTTTGTAGTTGTTTCGGATCCTAGCTACATCCAAGCTGAAATTCTTGTTAGCGTATCCACAATGGAAAAGAATTACTAGGTGCTATCTTTGATATGGTTAATTATGATGGAAAAACACAAACACAGAACTGGCCAAAGGCCTGTATAAACAGAAGTCAGCAGTGGAGGTCTGCAGGGCACAGAAAATTAGGCTTTGTCTTATCAGCTCCCAAAGTAATATATTCCCTTGTACTGCAAACATACAGGAAATAAACCCAAGAAGAGAAATATGCAGTCATGGATATATGTAATAGGTCTCTATCTGACCCCAGAACTACCTGTACTCTGCATAGTTTAAAAAAACCCCCAACAATAAAAAAAAAATCCACCCCACCCCCCTCCCCCAAACCCCTCAAAATAAACAAACAAAAAACCAAAACCACCAAAAAACCCCAAGACAACAAAAGAATCCCACAAACCAACAACAGACACTTGATTCAATCACTCTTCAAAAGACTTGTTTAACTTGCACAGAAAATGAACAGCAGTAGGATAGCTGACAAAGGCTATGTTTGTCCTAGACTTTGATTTTTCAAGAGAGATGCTGTTCACCATTGTTGTCGGCATCATTCCGTGTGTAGTTCAAAAGCTGTTGAAAATTCAGCTCTATAAAGCTGTTCAGTTTTACAGTCCTGTGGTGCTCAGTTGTAACTTTGAAGAAGACAAGCATCTCCTATGCATAATTAATAAATACAGCTTTCTATAACAGAGCTATGTAAGTTTGCATGATTATGAATATTAAAGAACATAGTTGCAAGTCAGGTTTTTCTTCCTTTTTAAGAAGTTCTTCTAACTAAAACCTGTATGTACCCCTAAAGGTCAGATCTTTGAAGGAGAGCCATCCTTCCAGTTCCAAAGTTAGTCTCTTAATTTAGCCTGTGTTGTCGGTTGTGTCATAAAGATGGGTAGGCTGGCCATATACACACAATGCCCTTATCAGAGTTTTGTAGTGATGGATCTTTTTTCATTCTAGCTGCATGTTTTTTTCTGTTTTTATTGTACACTTCCTCTGCAGACAATGAAACACACTTATTTTCTTAAATACCGCTTTTGTAAGTGTCTTCATTCAATCCCTCCTTTACTTCCTACACTTTCAGGATAATCAGGAAGTGGGACAGTGATGAAGGCAGTGCGCAACAAATCAGAAAGAACTGTGGAAAAAGTGCTGGTCTTAAATAGATAAAAGGATGTGATCGGGCTTTGAAGTTGTAAAGGAAATATTGATTTTTTTGTTTTTTGTTAATTTGATTTTTTACAATGTCAGTCTCGAGTGTAAGCAATCTTAAAGTTACATAACAAAACATTGTAAAAGTAACTTTCACAGGTTGCGTATTTTTTCTAACAAATAATGCTTCAGAGTAGCAGTTGTTAAGATCTTTTCACTTTGATCAACTGTCATATGCACTCAGAGTTCACATTATAAAAGTATTTAGTTTTAAAATGCTCTTATGCTCTCATCAACCTAACAAAGATCTTGACTAGCCTAGGAACTAGATGTTTCTTTTCTGTTTTGTTTCTTTTTTGCTCCTTTGATTCTGTAACATGTTTTTTTTTCTCAGCAGCTTCACCAGTAATAAGTAACATCTGAGTGATATCAAGCCATTTAGTTCAAATGAAAACCATACTTCCATTTTTAAAGTAATAATTGTGTGTGTTTTGCAGTATAAGTCTTCCAGAAAGAATTCAAGTGGAAATGAAAATGATGAGGTGAGAAATAGTAATGGTGTAAAATATTTAAGAAAATGTTTTATTCATTTGTTTTATGGATACCTGTGAGCCACAGTCACAGAACAGAACATTGGCTAGAGTCCACACAAACCAACTTTGCATTCCAAAGCCATAGCAGAAATAAGTATTATACTCCTTTATTTGGAAAAAAAGTTGTCAAGATTGTGTACTGGGGAAAAGTAGGACATTTGCTTGCTTTGGCAATAGGAAAGTTAATTCACCGGTCAAGCGGAGGTAATGTAAAAGTAATACTCGACACAGAGTGTTTCCTTGACTTACATGTTTTTAAATTTAGTTGCTGCTAGTTTGTTGCATACTTGACAAATAAATGTTTTGTGTCTCATGTATTATGTATTTCATAATTTCATGTTTCTTGTTAAATCATAATTTTCGTTTTTATAATTTCATCTCTGATTTCTTTTTAGCAAGACAGTGATAATACTAATGTGTCCCCACAGTCTCCTGTGTCGTCTGAGGTACAAGTTTGTGGTTTTGTTTTTCATTCAACAAACATTCTTTGTGCGCATTACTTGTCACCAGGTTTTCCATGCAGATATAAAGCTGTTAGTTTCCTTTGAAACTACGATTAGAAATATTTCATCATAATAAAAATTCAAAAATAGCTAGAAACTAGAGACAGATATTACAACTTGCTCTACCTTTTCAACTATCTGATATCTCCTAGATTTTCTTTTTGACTGGTGCATAGAAAGGTGCATTGTTTTGTCTCCATTATCCTTCCTAATGAAAATAGCTAATAAAACAAAAATCAAATTTGCTATATTTTATAGGTGTCCCCTATGCACTAGCCATCCAGAGGACTTTAAGTAAAACTTATGGTTTAGTATTTTATATATCACAGGGAACCCAAAGGTACTGACACTTCTTAGAGAATTTCGTCCTTCACAGTACTGGCTGTCGCCTTTGTGGTGAAGCCTTGCAGCTTCATTCATTGGTTGCTTTTCTTTTTAAGGAATGTCCAGGTAGTCTCACTGTGGCTGCACTACACTACTGAGCGCTGAATAAAGCATACCAAAGATCATTAGCATTTCCATCTCTTGCCAGTAAGGAACCTGAGGGAGCAGAACATCTCCCAAATACAGTGAAATGAGTTGAAATAAGGATATCTCATGTACATACCAAATTACTGAGTGCATCTCTTTAGATGGTGAAATGAGATAAACCTGTTCTTCATAATTGAAAGTAAACATTTCTGAAGAAATATTTTGATGCTAAGCGTTGGGATGGTATTTGCATTTGCTTACAGCTGGCTTAGAACTCTGTTCACAGAATGATTTACATAGTTTGAAATGGTTTAGAGTAGATTTTAGTTAATCTGATGCTGCTTTTTTTCTCAGTAAGATAATTTTATCTGCATATAGTGAGGTTACTTTCATTCTATTTATTTTATACTGTCCCCTTCAAAAGAGTGTGTTACAGTTAAGCAGGACTCGCTTCTCAGGCAAGAATAATTTAAACACTATCTTGATGGGAACAAAAGTTAATTCTTTGAATGAATGGAAGAAAATTGACTTTATCTCTTTTAACAGGATTATGAAAGGACAGATAGTAACACTCATGGTCCATTTGGTCTCAAGCCAAGGTCAGGTAAGCTGCTGTTCTCTAACATAGCATGATAGAACAGATGTTTATTTCCCGGGCTGGAATAGATGGTAAGGATAGCGGTTGTGTGAACTGGAATGAATATGAAGAGATGCCACAGTACAGCAATCCACTCAGTGTACTTATCACAAGCATAGTACTGGGAAAGACATAGACAGCTGCTTTGGCAAATGAATAATTGAAACTTCCCCAAGTTGCACAGTGATTTTTTTTTTTTAATTAATTTTTTTCCCCACTGATTTATTTTGTGCATATTTAGTCACTGTCAAAGAACAGGGAAACAGCATGCAGTTGTTCTAGAGACCTGATGGCTGAGGCAGGAGGGTTTCAAGAGAAGATATTTGTAATTTGTCCTATGAAAAGGGTTCTCTGAGCAGAGTTTTGCCAGGAGTTTTATGGCTTAGTGCTTTTTTGCACCCTGACTCTTCCAAGACTCTGCCATACTCTCAGAGAAAGTTGTATTGTCTAAAGCAGACTTTCAGTCCTCTGAAATCTAGGTAGAAATAATACTTTTTTTTTTCAGTTACAGTATTCTTTTGTTTGTAAGCGTCTATGTGAATATTGGATGTCAACAGTGTAAAACATAGGTTGGAAAAGCCACCGTGCAATCCTTTTTCCAGTTCGTACCACTCTTCTCTGTTTTAAGAGAACAGCTTTTGTGCAAATTCATTAAGAAAGAATGACCTCAGCTCTTCAGTTTAATTTCATTGTGTTTATGGTAACAAAGCTTGACTTCCTTAATACTAGCCTGCGAGCCCTCAGTAGTAGAGTATGTCTGGCTGAGGTCATGCAAGTGGCTTCTTCAGGGCCCTTAAGTCGCTTGAGATTTGTAAGCAGTTGCATGAAACTTCTGTGCCAGAGATGGGTTAGTTGCATGTACCAGGACATGCCTGGCTGTGATCATTTAGAGGCTTCTGAGTTATCTGCCTCCTTGGCTGCAGGAAGGTGCGGGTTTGATAGGAGGAAGCAGGCTTGTTAGGACCTTTCAGCCCACTGTTTCTCAGTGCGGTAGTAGGCTTCCGAGGAGCCACTGCCAGCTCCTGTCTGTAACAGCAGCACCCCTTTCGCTCAGTTCTAGGAAAGCGAATGGCATTTTGTTTCTTAGTTACAAGCCAAAATCTTTGTGGTTTTAGGTCAGTAACATGCAATTGTATTTTTCTGTATACAAACTGCATACTCTCATAATGTATAAAATCAGAGCAGTGATTTTAAGAGTATCTATAAAATTTCTGTTACTTTTGATTGTTACATCTCTTGCTAAAATCCAAACTATTAGGAAAAAATATAGAAGGTTCTAAAGGTGTAAGTATTGTTTGGTTGGTTGGTTGGGGTTTTTTTGCCAAAAGCATGGGATAAAATACTTAAGGATACAGTGGTATTGCTACAGAATAGTTTGTATTTGGCACTGTTATATAAAATAATAGAATTGTTATTTGAAGGCCATGAAGAATAGTAAAGTGAATGTAATTATCTAACAGACCTCCTTTTTAAAGAACTCTGCACTTTTAGATGAGACATTTGATATTTTTCAATTAGTTCTTTAAGCAATCACCGTGTCTCTGCATATGCATACCTAACACTTGCGTATATGTGTGTGTGTATATATATATATTTTTCAGTCTTTCATTGTAAGTCATATAGGGAGTTCTGTCTATTTTTTTTAGTCTCCATAAAGACTTTATACTTGATTAAAAATAAAACACAAGGAAAATACTTTCAAAGCTAGATTGCAAGATATGCCTGGAAAAGTGCAAATGGACTTGTATATCTCGAACAGATATTAGAATATTGAAGTAAGTTCTGTCTCCATATTTTCTAGTTATCCATCTGCACTTAAGTCAGATGATCTGTGTATGTCATTTGAAAGCTAAGTTTCATAGACAGCATCTTTTACATCAGGATACTTACATATATGTGTTCTGAAAAGTTCTGCAGCTTTTTTCCCATTTTATCCTTGGTGGTAGATTTTTAGTTATTGCATTTCTAATCTGAATTCTGCAAACTAATGTCACTTATGTTTAATAGCTTTCAGCCGTGCATCTCGCCAGGACTATGGTGCAGTGGATCCTGGATTTACAATGAGGAGGAAAATGGAGCATTTAAGGGAAGAAAGGGAACAAATAAGACAGCTTCGCAATGTATGTAGCATTATTTACTATATGGGTGCAGTGCATTTAGTTTGCTCTGTACCACAATTTAAACCTTTATAATAAAGGCCTGCAAATCGTTACAGTTGTACAGGGGCATCTCTGTAGTGATATCTCTTCCTAAGGAATTTCATGTAACAGGCTACACTGGTACTATTTTCGGTCCAACAAAAATACCAACCAGGAACTAAATGATGTGGTTTTTTTAGCTGAAAAATGAAATTTTTTTTAGGTTTCTGAGGTTTTAGGCTTTCCTAGGGAGACAGTAAGTCTGCTTGTGTTTGCTGCTATTTGATGTGAGATTTGAAGAAAGATGGTCATAGTCTTGTGAATAGCCAAATGCTTTTTGAGTGTAGAAAGTTTTGCTGGAAGTTATACAATACTGAATGGGATCTAAATTTCAGACTTCCAGTAAGTTGTTTTCTGTATAGTACTGTTCTCAAGATATTTAACAGTTCTAGTTAACTGTAAATCATAGCAGCTCTGCTTTCCAGGGCAGTACTAATTTGGGGTGTGACTTCTACAAAGGCTGTTCCTGTCTTGTCTGGTTCACTTCCTGAGCAGTGAAGGCTTGCTGCTGGGGTGGGAAAAAACGTTCCCTGCTTCCCTTCTCTGTTTTTGCAACCCAAGTGCGGGCACTTCTTGGCCACTATGGTTGTGCTCCCCTCTTTTTTTTTTTTCTCCTTCTCCTACAGTAAAACTGTGTATGATTTCAGCACACAAATTCTGCACACTAACAGCTAATGAAGTATTCAGCCTAACATTTCTGTCCTTAAATTCTGTGCTTTCTTATTATGAGTAATGAGTTCATCGTATGGCTTTGAGAGCTATGTATCATGGTAGTTGTTGTCTGAATATCTTTCTCAATGTATGTAGTTGTATGATTAAAAAAAAAACAAGCAAAGAGAATGTAAGGTTAATGATAAAGAAGAGGGTATTTGTACTCAGTAAAGTGTGAGTTGACTCCATTTACATCACTTTATTATTAAAATGTCCCTTTTAAACTGCATGCTTTAAAATACCCTGGATTTAAAATTTAAAACTAGCTAATGTTGAAAGTAACTTACATATGGACTTTTTAATAGAATCTTGAATCAAGGTTAAAAGTAATTTTGCCAGATGACATTGGAGCAGCATTGATGGATGGAGTAGTTCTTTGCCATTTAGCCAATCACATAAGGCCACGTTCTGTTGCCAGCATTCACGTACCATCGCCAGCAGTGGTAAGTCATTTATGTTACTTTTGTTGCATGTTACATGAAAACAAGCTTTTGAAGTTCAATACTAAAACATCATGAATCATGTTTAACCATATTAATTGGCTACATTCCTCACTTCAGTTTTTCTGCAAGAAGCATTAAACAAGGCTCAGAAGTTTAGTTTAAGAGCTATTTTCATATACTGAGCCTTCATCGAATTTGTTTTGTGTTTTAGCAACTGGTACTGAATTTGCATCAGAAATATACAATCCTTCACGAATGTATGATGAAGATCTAACATCCTGTCTTTACAGCCTAAACTCAGTATGGCAAAGTGCCGAAGAAATGTTGAAAACTTTCTTGATGCTTGTAAAAAATTGGGCGTTCCACAGGTATACTAATTGCTTTATTGACTTCTTATTAATAACCACAGAAAATGTAATCAAATACTGAAGTTGGGTTTTTTGGGGGGCTTAATTCAGTGAGCAATAGTGGTTATAACACTGACCAGGGAACTTGAAGATAGGAAAAGAAGTCCCATTTCTGGCCTGTGGCATGAACTTGAGGAAGCTACTTCATGGGTTTCTAGTCAGTTCCTTATAGTAAAAATAGTATTGACCACCTTGTAAAATAAATTATGATCTAAACAAAAGAACTGATGTGAGAGGATGATGATGTAATATTTGAAAGCCTTGAGTTTAGGAACTCACTTTGGCATGAATTTCAGTGCCTACCTAGGAAGAATCCTGCAGCTACAGAAATATGTAGCCTCACTGATTAGCTGTCTTCTTTAGCCACGTCCATAGTTGCAGCCCGTTATTCATGCTTCTGTTGCCCAAGTTCATCCTCTTACTTCCCTGTATGAGGGGGGAAAAAACCTAAAGATCAAATCATTTCCTGCATATTATGAGACAAGAAACTCCCTCGACCCTTTTTAGTGGAAGAAGAAAATTAGTTCATGGATTTAGAAGTCTGGGTTACTGCTCTGCGACAGCTTCTGGCTAGCGTGGAGCCACAAGCCATTCAGAAGTTAGAGATGCTAAGACTGACCTCCTGAAGTGCATGTAACACCAGCTAGTAGTTGGGAAAATTGTCCAGCTTGTGCTGAATTTTGAAACTGAAAGATGACTTTCTTGGGGAATAGCTCATTACTGAGGACCCAGTCTATCAGCACTTCTGAGTTTTCCCAGGGGAAAAAAGCCTACAAAACAAGGGAAGGGGGAAGTAGGCCACTGAGTCAACAGTGCCCATCAGCCTGTTTTTCTTGCTCTGCTTATGAAAAGAAACAGTCTTTGCCTTTATGAAATTAGCAGTCTTTTATGTATCTTCTGATGTTGTCTTAGTTTAACACTTTAAATGGATCTAGATATAATTCGTTTCTGACCATTCTGTTACTGTAGAGAACCACATGCAAACTTAAGACTAAAGACATTTTCTATGCAGGTGTCTTACATGTGTGACTTCAGAGAGAATGCATTTGTTACCCGCCTTGGGGGAAAAAACAAAAGAAGATTGATACACGTACTGCTTTATTTTGCAGGAGAGACTTTGCTTGCCTCATCACATTCTGGAGGAAAGAGGTCTGGTGAAGGTTGGCCTCACGGTTCAAGCTCTGCTTGAATTGCCAGCGTTGAAAGTATCTCAGCTTTCCTCCATGTGACATCTTGGAAGCTAGACAACTTACGATTCGATCTGTTGATTTGGATTGCTCTGAGGCAGTTCAGCTTCCTATGTAGAAACATCCAAGCCATCAAAAACTAGTATCTGTCCAGATGCTGTAGAGAGCCTTACTCTGGAGTTGTACATGAAAACCTTGGAGTCAGCTGACAGTTAAAAGAACATAATTATTCTTTTTTTCTTCTGTAATTGGATGCACAAAGAGATTGTGGTAGCATCAGGTTCTCTTTCAAGTTAATTTAAGTTAAAAGCTGCCATTTAACATCTCACAGTTAAATGCTGGATTTCTTTTCCTACATTGAAAATGTTGTTTGAATTATTTTAGAAGTACAAAGCACGCCCCCCCTCACTTTAATCTTTCAAGTCAATCATTTGATTTAAAGGTAAGACAAAAATGTAGTGATGGTATGATGGTAAAAATGCGAGCGACTGATCACTTGTAATCCACTTTCACTCTCAGAAAGCTTAATATTTGCGTTCTTTATTTTTGCACTCCTGATTGTAACTTACACACTTCTAACATTGCCAGTATTTAGTCTGAGTGTATGGTGATTACACAAAACAGGATACAATGGGAAAAGGACACATTTTGAGTTTTTTCCAGTCTTCTAGGTTGGTGCCAAATATTTTTTTCAGTTGTACTGTAGATTGTTTACATGTGAAGTGCCTGTGTAATTGATAACTCTTAATAGTCTTAAACATTTTTGAAATTTCTTTGTTTAAAATAGATAAAATGGAAATTTTTAAATATTTTAATATTTTTTTGTAAAATCAGTATGTGAAGATTTAAGTAATACTTCACATTTTTGATGTTGGGTGTTTTAAGTTTGCACAATTTAATTGGTTATTTTGTTGTCTAATAATTAGAAAATACTGTAAATACTTTTTATTTATGATATTTAATTTGATAATACCTAATCACTTTTGGTTTAATGTATTGTTGGACAAAAAACAGTGTCTACTTTTCTTTGTTTGGGACAAAAAAAATATACACGGTGAGACGTGAGGACTAGTGATGCATACAGAGTAATTTAGGACATTTTGATAAAACTGCCAAAATCTCAGGTTTACGCTGTGACTTTCAGGATTTTGTGTAATATTGCTCCTGATCTCACATTACATTTTTACAACAGGTATATCTGTAATTTAGTTGAGAAATATCGGTGTTTATCTTTTTAGTGTTTACGGGATTTATTGTGTAGTTTACACAATAATGGCATAGCACACAAATCAGTTTGTACAGATGTCACTGTGCTGGGACATTAGACTTTTCTGGATAAATGTGAAGAAAAAAAAAATTTCCACTGTGGTGGTTTTTTGAAACTTCTGAGTTTATGTATTTGTTTGCTTCTGCACAAATTCTCGGTGTTTTGAGAACATTCTGAAACCATACACAGTTGAGTTGAGTTCTTCTCCAAACAAGTTGCAAATAATTTCATGATTTTAGTAATAAATCTGTTTGCATTAGTTTGTTCTTCATGAATAGGTAGTTCAATTTAAAAAAAAAAAAAAGTTCTGATTGTCACAGGTTTTCTATTTCAGGCTAAGTTAATTTCGATTGAGGGATATGCTTGCCAAGCATGTAACAAGATTTGATTCTGTTCTTTCCAGTCGATCAAGACCCCATGTAATATAATTCATAAAAGAATGAGGGAGGGGTATCATTTACTCCTTACTTCATTTACTGTAGTCCTTAAAATCAATAGCTGAGAGGAAAAATAACCTTTTTCTGACTACATTTTTTTTAAAAGATACATTATATTTAAATCCATTGAAACAAGCTGATTCATATGTAATGGTTAAACCACTATTATTTATATAGTGTTTTCTTAAAATACAGCTCATGGAGAGGCTGGTGTAAAACCTAATTTGCAAAGTCCTAGATATAAATCTTAGGTTACATAGATACTTGCTTAAGGAAACCGGATTGCTTTGACCTTTGAAATATGGTATTTAAAATTTCTCATTGTTTTTTAAATAATTCACATAATATTCATTTTAACAACTTCAATCTCTCTTCTTCATTAAAGGCAGTGTCTGAAAAGTCATGCTAAGACTAAAATGAAAAAGTAATATAATTCAGTAAGCAAAATGCTTGTCGTTGTCTGCTACATTTGAAGATCACAGCCATTCAAAAAGAATAAGTCATTGTCTCTCAATTCCTTGCTATGGTATTTGACAACAACAACAAAGTTCTATTTCAGTATGTTAGCTATAGAATTGGTAACTGTAAATTGTCACTTTCAGTTATCTGGCTTCAACTGATCTACGCTACTATTTCATTGTCACATTTAAATGTTTTCTGCTCTTAAAGTGACTTTTTTCCTACTAGAACTAAATTTATAAAGTTATATCACAGTGTAAACATTAAGAATTCCCTTGATGTAGCATGCCAGATGCTTACCAGGTTTTTTTAAGGTTTTTAAGTCATAAGTAACTTGAAGACTGGATATGAAATTAATGTACTCATTTTAAACTGTATTTCTGAAGCTGAAAACTACTAAAACAACCTTTTATTTTTTTTTTTAAGTACTCTGGAGTTCTTCCCCACAAACTTGCTAGAAACAGTCTTGCTTTGCCATTCATTGGAAATGGTTATGGCCACCTTCATGCTATGGGGAAGGATAATCATGATTCGTCCAGGGCTTCCTTTTTAGCAATGCAAAGATTAAGGCCTTCAGGTATCCTTAGGAGCAATCTGAGAAAAGGTCCACTGTGCCTGGATGAATCTTTTCTCATCTTTCTTTAGCTGCTTTTACAAATAATAATAATAATCTAAAGCCTTGCTAAAATTGGCTGTTCCCATCGTGATTTTTTTTTTAGAAGCAGCTGCAAAAGAGATGCTAAAAAAGTTTTGAAGTTTAAGTTTTAATTTTAAAGCAGCCTGTGGAAATTGTTGCTGTCTTCCCTGTACAAGAATTTGCCTATTGTCCCCTTTCTCCCTTTCCATTTGATTCCCAGCGTCGTCTTATTTATTTTTGTTTGATCACAGATCTAGTAACTTCACATTATTCATTACTGCATGCCACTTTCCTCCTTCCTCTTTACTTTTTTTTTTTTAAGAAATTGCTCCAGCGGCATTGGTAAACTGCTGTAACTCCAGAATCCCTGCTCCCAACATTTAGTATGTTTGAGATATCCTTTTCCTATTTTGTTTAGGATGCAATGTCATTACATAATACTTGGTACAGCTGATAGGATGGTTAAAAACAGAGGCCTGCCTAATTTCTGTTGTAATCACTCAGTTTTTACTTTGGACATGAAGGAAAGTCAACATTAAAAGCTTTAGGAAACTGCATTAAGCTTTCCTAATAAATTTCAGAGTTAACTAGGGTGCTTTTGTTATTGTGAATGCCATACAAAGTTACTGCAATAATGTGGTATGAACTGTAAATTACAGAGTGAATCAACATACTGACAGGGCTTCTGGCCTTGTGTGTTCCTGTTTTTTATGTCATTGGATGCAGTATGTCGCACATGAATGATCTTTCATTTAAGCAATAATGTCCCAGATATTGTGAGATCTTAAAGCAGTAGCATTAAAATAATTGTTGTAAAGTGTGGCGACTTCCCACGCAGTATCTCAGAAATGCTTCGCATCTATTATATAATACTGCTAATCCGATGTGCTAGCAGGGGCGCTGCTGGGGATGCAGAAAACCATCTATACCCATGTATTGGGAGGCCTTCCAAAATATAGCCAAGAACTAAAATTATAAAATATGGAGGAATATATTTGAAACAAGAAATAACTATGACATGAATCATAAGAATTTCTGGGTAAAATCCTAGCTTCACTGAAAACAATGCAAGTTTTGCTCTTGACTTCAGTAAAGATTTCACCTTTTTAATTTATGGTACACCTGAGCTGGAGACTGTGGCAAACATGGCTTAAACTTGTTTGACACTAGCAAAGCGTTAGTGTCAAATTCTTGACTAACAGTAGTGATCTCTGGTAAGTCAAAGAAAGCTGTAAAATATTACACTGATTAATTTACTAAAAATTTTCTGATATGCCATAGGCAGTATTAAGACGGTAGGAAAAATTACTTTGAAGCACAGCTTTCATATTATGGGAAGGTACGTCACCTCAGTAAAATTGCAGGTGAGGACTACCATCAGTTAGTTATTTACTGCACTAAAAACTTTATTTCAAATATCTTATCGTTTGGCAACAGTCTTCTCAGATTTTGACATAAATCTGTAGCCAAATTCAAACAAAAAATGAAAAGGCATCTGTTTTCACCAAAACCAAATTTCCATGTGTCTTCTCAGTATTGAAGAGAAGGGCAAAGGTCTGGCACTTCTCACTTCTGATTTCTTAAATGCTTGTGTGGAAGGTAGCTGTTGTATCTAACACAGCTGCAGCCTGCCTCTTTCGTCTCGGAATCGGTCTGTATACCAATGCAGAGAGAAAGCACGTTAATCAACTGATTTCAAATAAAAGCAACTTGCGGGACTTTTTAGCACTTTCTGCAGAAAGGAGATGATTTTGTATTGGTAAATCAAATTTCTTTTTTTCCTCAGTAAGTCAGGCTAATGTATGTGTTTCTTTCAAGAGATAAAACAAAAGCAAATAAAGAAAACAGCAACCCAACACAAACAAAACTGGTGAAATATTTCCTGTTTACAGGTGATTCTTTGGAAATAACAGAAAACAATTTTTTTTTAAATGTCATTAAGACCAGGAGTGGGAAAGGCAAAGTATAGTTGTCCAAGGAGAGGGTGCTCTGAGTTGATTTCACGTTGAATCACTTCACAATGAAAAACGTTTAGATTTAGTAGAGAAAGAAATAGATGTTTTGTAGCTACTTCATGCTGAGGGAGGCGGATCCTTAAGTACAAGGAGCTTTCTGTACAGGTTACAATAACAAGAAATTTGGTGTCTTTGTTTTCCCAAAGACTGTATATTTTGGATAGCTCTGCCCCAGTGCCACAGAAAGCATTGTTGATTGTGCGGAGAACGCTGCCCGTTCCGAGCCC